CCTTTTCGAAGGTACCGGCAGGGCTGGACCCGCGCGGGTTTGCCCTGGGAGAATAGGGCCTGGGGTGATGAAGTCTGGGGAGTGTGTACCGAATCAGACCTACCCTAGCTGTCTTCGCAAAACACTGCCCGATCTTGCAAAAGGGGGGGAATCAAGGGGGTGCCATGGGAAAGGGGACCCTCAAAACGGAGCCCCTGCCCTCCAGGCTTGAGCCCACTCCTCCGCTTCCCTGTAGATGGGCCTGAGGCTGAGGCGCTGAGGGAGGCCCGCGTGCCCCTGCTCAGCGCAGACACCTGCCGAAGGGCCCTGGGCCCCGGGCTTCGCCCCAGCACCATGCTCTGTGCCGGTTACCTGGCCGGGGGCATCGACTCATGCCAGGTACGAGCCCCAGTTGATGGGAGGGCACCGGTGGGCCGCTCTCTACTTTCCTTCTGCGGTGAGGCTGTCACTAATTTCTCTGAGCTTCTATGTCCTCCTGGCTGAAATGGGTACAAGAGTGGTGACCCCAGTAGAGTCAGAGCTGCCTAATCCTGCGGGTGTAAGGCTGCCAAGTGGGGTGGGGGTGGGGGGGGGGCGAGGGGTCGATGCAGTGCCCTCTCTCTTGGCTTGGGTCCCCGCAGGGCGACTCTGGAGGCCCCCTCACCTGTCCTGAGCCCGACCCCCGCCCCAGAGAGGTCCTGTATGGAATCACCTCCTGGGGGGACGGATGCGGGGAGCCAGGGAAGCCAGGGGTCTACACCCGCGTGGCCGTGTTCAGGGACTGGCTGCAGCAGCAGATGAGCGGTGAGTGCTGGATTCCTATTGTCCCCTCCGCAGAGTCCCGCCCACAGCTCTGGGACGAGCCCAAGCTCACGTCCTCCCCACGTGCCCCCAGCCCCCTTCGGCGTCGGGAAAGCCCCACTCTGAGGCAGGACTGCGGGGGCGGGGGCCCAATACGAGGGGGAAACAGAGATATATTGGGCTGAGAATCCAGAACCTTTGGCTCTGAGTGCTGGGCCCTGGGGCCTTGGGACTCTGTCTCCTCCTAGTCCACCCCAGCGCTCCGGGAGCCCAGCCTGCTTCCCTGTGGGTCTCCCAAGGCAGGGCTTGGAGCTGGGGCAAGGAGGGCAAGCCCGCAGCTCCTCCCCAACCAAGCATGACTGTGCCTCATGTCCCAGCAGCTTTGTCGGCCCAGGGGACAAAGGCATTGCAGGCCGCCCGGAGGAGCGCCCGGTGGGCCATAAATCTAGTGGCGATGGAGATCCAGCATAGATTGCATGAGTGCCAAAGTTGTGCCAACCGCACCACCCCCTGCACAGGTGAGCTTGCACCAACTACCTGGGACTGTTCTCCTGTGCACCCCACCCCCTCCCTTGACTTGACGCCTCTCGGAGAGGGAGACTGAGTGGGGCTGCAACAGGACAAGGCTTATGAAGGTCTAAGAGGAAAGCGCGTGCATGCCAGGCTTGGGACGCTGCTTGTGCAAGGGCAGGAGGGAAGGCACAGTGTGAGCTCATTTGGTGAAGAGTGAGTTTGTGGCTGCTGAGACAGACACTGACT